CTTGTCATCATTTCCTCTTCTACTTTTCTCTATTTTTCTCGCCTATCATTTCCTCTTCCTTTCTTCCTCTCTTTCTAGCCATTCCTTGTCTTTCTGTCCTTTTATCTATTCCTCCTTATTTTGTCTCGCATTATGTTGTCTGTATCTCTCTTCCCCTCTTCATTTTTAAGCTTTATGTTGCTGTCCTGCTCTCTATCTGGTACCTCATTTTCTCTCCATATCATACTTCTTCTGTATTCTTTATTATTCCTTCTTATCCTCTTCGCTTCTTCCTGCTCTTTCGCTCTCTTGTGTTTCTATCCTTCGCATTTCCTACTTTCTTGCTTTTTTCCTATGTTTCTTTTCTACATTTCATACCTCGTTCCTTCTCTCCTGCTATCTTTCGTTGCTTCCTTCTCTCTTTTGCTTTTTCCTTTGCTTTTCTCTGTTTCTCCCCACCTTTTCTTTCTTTGCTTTTCTCTTTCTTGCATTTTTCGATTCCTCTTGCTGCTTGCTTTGCTTTTCCTTTTTCTATTTTCTCACGTTCTGTTCTCTTTGTCCATCATTTCTTCTTCTGTCTCTATCTTTCTTCCTCTTTGCTTATTTCTCTCTCTTATTGCTATCGTTTTCTTTTAGCATTTCTCGCCATTTTTGCTGCTTGCTGTCGCTTGATACTATTTTATTTCTTGTTTCTCCAGTCACTTAGTTCCTTTGTTCTCTTATCCCTATCCCTTCCTCTCACTTGCTTATCTTATGTGTCCTTTACTACGTCATTCCTTCTTTTGCCCTCATTACTCTCTCCTTTTTGTCTTGTCGTTACTTTCTTTCATTTTTTCTTTGCTCCTACTCTCTTATTTTCTCTGCTGTTCTCTATTATTTCTGTCGCAATATCTTTTTTCGCCATTGTTTTATATTTTTATCGTTTTGTGCTCTTTGTTTCCCGTATCTTACTTTCTTCTTGCCTGTACTTCTGAATTTGTCTCTCTTGTATTGTTATTTCCTACATTATCCTTCTTCCTATTTTTTACCTTGTTCATTCCTGCTTTCTGATTTTGTATTTCCTTCTTCCTTGACTATTGCGCTGTTTTCTTCTTTCCTCTTGTCTTTATTCTGTGCTAGCTCCCTCATTTTCTGTCTCTCCTTACAACTACATTTTTATTTATCTATTACTACTCTTTCTTTTCTTTTCCGCTTTTCCATGTCTATCGTCCCTTTTGTTCTCTAGGTACTTCTGTTTCATTCTTTCCCACTCTTTTATTGTTCTTTCTCTCTTTTGATCTTCCCATTATTTTGTTTCTTCATTTTTACTTACATCCTTTTCTTCGTGCTCGTATCTCTTTTCTTTCTTATTTCTGTTATTCCTTTTTGATTGTTTTCTTATGTCATTTTATCCCTCTTATTTTTCTGCTCTTTCTTTCCGATTTCAATTTTGCGTATTCTTTCACTTGTTTTCTTGCTTTCTTTATCATTCTTTCATCCTTTCACTATCTTGCCTTATTCTCTCTTCTCTGTCTTGCTTCCTCTCTCCTCTTCCCTTTTGCTCCCTTTGTTCCATATCATCTGTTTTAATCTAGTCCATTCCCTATCTCTTTTTTTTTCCCTACTGCTTTCTGTATCTTTCGTTGCTTTTTTTCTATCTCCTGCTATTCTCACTTTCTATGTCTTGTCCCGTTTTATTTTTCCTTTTTTTAATTCGCTTCTTGTGACTATCCTTTTTTTCTTCTTCTTTCCTTAATACTTACGTGTTGTGCTCTCTTCCCTCTTTTTGCTCACTTTCTTTACCTTTCTATCTTCTTTCTCCTTCTTTTCTCTCTCTCTTGTTTATTCTTCCCTTCTGTTTCTTCCTCTCGTTTCTAGCTTTTCTTCCCCATTATCTTTCTTGTCTTTTCTCTTATTTTTTTTTTTTTCACTTTATATTTGCTCTCTTTTCCTCGTCTATTTTGCGTTCCCTCATCTCGCTTTCTCTTGCTTCTTCTTGCTGTTGTTCTCTTAGCTTATTTTATTATCTCATCCTTCTTCCCTCTTTTATATCTTCTTCTTTTCCTTTGTTGCACTATTTATCCCTCTTACGTAGTCTTTACATCTCTTTGCCTTCGTATTTTGCATTTGCTTTTCTTGCTTTTTTATTGCTCATTGCTCCGTCATTTATTTCCTCTTTCTATTATTCCTTCTTGTTTCTCGCTTTGTTATCTTACTCTGTTTTCTCTTTCCAAATTACTTTATCCTGTCTTCTGTTCTCTATCTTTTCCTGTTTTCTGCTGCCTACTTCCTTTCTCTTTTAATATTCCTTCTCTTTCTTTGTGTTGTCAGCCTTCTTTGTCTTACTTTCTCCTTATCTCGAGCACCTTCTGTCCTTTTATCTTCTTCTTCCTGCTCTTGATTTCATTTCTTGTCTCTTATTCTCATATTTGTTCTTACTTACTTTCACTCTGCTTCCTGTCATTCTTTCCTTCTGACATTTTACTTATGCCTTTTATGCATTTCCTTTCCTACGTTAAATATCTCTTGTTTCCTTTCTTCTTTCTTTTCCGTTCATCCTTTCTTCTCTTTTTTCTTGACTCTCATTTTATTGCTCCCTTCTTATTATTCCTTATAATTACTAGCTCCGTCTCTTGCTTCTTTATTTCATCTCTTACTTCTCTTCCTCACTATCTTACTTTTGTTTCCTATCAGTTTCGTTGGTCTTCTCGCCTTTTGCGTTTTCTTATCTTATATGACGCTTTTTCGTTTTTTGTTCTCTCCCTTGTTCTGTTCTTTCCTTGTCTTGCTCTGTAACTACTGCTGCGCCTTTCGCTCTTGAATTTTATTTTTGTTGACTTCTCTCTTTTTTTTTCCGTTTCTATGTTTGGTTACCTTTAACTTTTTCTGTACTGCCTGTTGTCTTCTGTTATAGTACTCTCTCCTCTTTCCCATCGTTATGCATTGACTGTTTCCCGTTCTTTCCTCCTCCTTTCTTTCTTTCTTACTTCTTCTTATTTTTCTTACCCTTCCTTTGTGTCTCGCTTCCTTTTTTTTACCACTATCTCTTTGCCGTTCTACTATTATCTATTATCTTTCTTTTGCTTATCTATCTTTTTCTTAATTTGCCTTCTCCTTTTTTTTTACTTTCACTTATCCTTATTCCTTGTTTCTTCTTGTATTTCCTAGTTTGTTTCTCATCTTTCTTTTCCTCTCTGTTTTCTTTAGTTCTTTGTTAGTCGTGTTTTTCGTCCTTCCGTCTTGTTGCTTTTGCTTTTGCTATTCTCCTTTTCTCTTCTTCTGCTCCTTTTTTCTGTTTCATCTTCTCTCTTGTTCTTTTTTCTTTATTCCTTTTTCTACCTTCCTACTTTTCCATTCTTCCTTTCTCTTGTTCTTTTCTTATTAGTTTTTTTTTGTCTCCCTCTTTCCTGCTTTTTTCCTTTTTTTTCTCCCTTTATTTATCTTTACTCTTCTTTCAGCTTTTTCTTTTTACTTTCTTCCCTTCTTATCTTGCTCTCTTGTTTTCCTTTGCCTTTTACCTTTCTCTCTTCTCTTTCTTTTCCTCGTTTTTTTTCTTTCCTCCTTTTTCATTGTATTTCTCTCTTCCCGTATCATTTCTTTTTGCTGTTCTCATCTGTTTCTTATCTTTTCTTTTCTTTTTACATTATCTTTTCTCTCCTTATTTATTACTTCTTCTTTCGCTTCTTCCCTTATTTCGTTCTTTTTTCCTTTCTCTCTCTTCCTTGTTTCTCTTTTCTTCCTTTTGTTCCCTACTATTTGTCTTTTATTGCTTTTTTTCTTCTTTTTTCTCCGTTATTATTTTTTCTTTTATCCTTTTTGCTTTTTTTATCTCTTGTTTTTCTTTTTTTTTTCTTTCTCCCTTTCTTTCACTTTTTGTTCTTTCTTTTTCTTTTTCTTCCTTTTTCCTTTTCTTTTCTTTCTATCTCACTTCACTCTTGCTTTCTTACCTCTCTTCCTTTCCTATTTGCTTCTTTCTTTCCTCTTATTTGCTTTCTTTTTTGCTACCTACTTTTTCTTTCTATCTCCTTATCTCTTCTCGTGTTTTTTCTCTTCTGTTTTTCGTTCTGGTCATTTGTTTCGTTTTATCATTTTCTCTTGTCTTCTGTCTCTTTTACTTTTTTGTCACCTTTTCTTGATCTCTTTTTATCTTTACGTCTCTATTTAGTTTTCTCGCTTTCTTCCTTCATTTTGTCATACTTTCTTCTTATCCTTTATATTGCTTTTTTACCTTCTTCTTTTCTAATATTTTTACTCTTTTTCCCTTACTAGCTGTATTGGTATCTGTCCCGTTTTTTCTTGATCTTTTCTTTCTTCCCGCAACTTGCTTTTTTTTTCGTTATATTTGTCTTGCTAGGGTTTACTTACTTTTTTTGTCTTGTTCTTCTTCTTATCGCTATCTTGTTCGTTTTATTTCTTCATTTCCTTCTTTACTTTCGTTTGTCTTTACTGTCCTTCTAGTCTTTTTTTATCATCCATTTTTCTTGCTGATCACTTTATATTTTATTGATCTTTATTGCTTTTCACTCTTTTCTCCTTTTCTTTTCCTATTACTTTTCTTTTACTCCTCAATCTTACTTTCTTCATTGCTGACGGTTTCTTCCTTTCTCTATCTTCGCTTCCCTCTAACTGCTCTCTTTTCCTTTCCCTTCATCTCTTCTCCTCCTCTTTTGTTGCTCCCTGCTTGTTTGTTTTTCTTTTGCTCTTTCTATTTTTGCTGTCATTTCTGTGTCAGTGACTTTACTTCTTACTTTCTTTTTTTGCTTTCCTTCTCTTATTTTTTTTGTCGTGTCTCTTTATTATTTCTTCCTTTTTTTTACCACTATCTCTTTGCCGTTCTACTATTATCTATTATCTTTCTTTTGCTTATCTATCTTTTTCT